TTGCATTCAGTTTTTATTGACAGTTTGTTTAGTGTCACAACTTTTTTGGAATCCGGTTTGTAGAGTGTTGTATGAATGTGTGTGTGTAGTAGAGTGCTGTATTACATTGTAAAAAGCTCCGAGTATCTTGATGAGGTAGAATAATCTGTACAAGTCCAGTCTATTGATCAATAAATTGAACTAAAGTCGAACCCTGCAGGAGCAGCTTCTTTTCTTCTTCCAGCTGACAGTCAAGGTATAAATCATGTTGGACCTCACACCTTGATCAGGACCACACAGTCCTCCGTTGCAGTCCCACAAATACAAACTTGAGGAAACCAATCCGTTCGGACACATCACAGGAGCCCTGCGTGGTTCTGGCAGCAGCTGCAGGAGGAAAGATGTTTTCTGCTTTGATGGAGCCGGGCCTCATTACAGCCGGCAGCTCCTCTGATGTGAGGAGACTACAAGAGGGACCACCGTCCGGAGATCCACCCGTCTTCTCTGTGGCTCGTTCAGGGCTGAAGACGGGGCAATAAACTGATCAGATTTATCCGGAGCGCTGAAACACGACGAGGATGAGGCGAGGAGACGGGTTTGCATCAGTCTGAAGGTCAAAGGCTGAACGGAGGGGGAGTCTAATGAACGAAGCTCAGAGGAGGCAGGAAACGATAAAAGACGTCAGGAATCACTGCTTCTGTCCAGCTTTGGTGTTTTTATCAGCTCAGCTAAAGAAACGTGAACAGACTGAAACACTTTAATCGTTCTCGGTTGGTGTTGACACAAGCTTGGCTCATCCCTTGAGTTCAGGAGACATTTTGTGAACTGAAACTTATCAAAGACGACTTTTAAAGGAAACAAAGTCTAAAGAAACATGTTCTGGATCAAGACTTTTGCACAATATTTAATATTTGTTCAGTTTTTTATGTGCGTTCATTAATAAGCAGCATCTTTTTCTTTTTAGCCGTCAGCTGATTCAGAGAAAACTGACAGCGAGGAGCTTCAAACTGTGAACGGCTGAACTGAGGGTTGAAACTTCAGAGGGAATTCTCTCCTGTGATCTTCAGATGACGAGACGGAGGAGGGAAAAAAACCGAGAGGGAGAAGGAGGCGCCGAGTGGAGGAGAAGAGGAAACGAGGAGACGGTCTGCGATCACTTATTCATCAGAAGCCTTTGTTGTGCGCTGATGAGTTGACAGGTTTCAGTTGGGCCCACGCCGCACTGATGCTGCTGCGTTTGGATCCACGGGGAGAGGTGTGTGAAACTGAGACATCAGGAGGACCGAGACGCAACAGGAGGAGACAAAGGCTTGCAGAAGACCAGAAACACGGATTCAGTCTGTTGTTGTTTAGTTGTTGTGCTGGGAGAGAAGATGACCTACTTCTGACAGCTGCCTCCCCTCCTTCGTTTACTCCCGATTTTATTTCCACTTTTCTTCCTCAGTCTGTTCGTACTGAACAGAAACCAGGTGCTCGGACCAACACGAGGGTCCCTCTCAAATCTGAGGGTTCCTGAATCTTTTCTATTTGAAGTTGTTGTTGTTGTTGTTGTTGTTGTTGTTGTTGTTGTTGTTGTTGTTTGATAAATAAATGAAGTTATCAGCTCTCAGGCCCGCTGCATCTCTTTGTTTATTCCAAACCAACATCAGTTTTGCTGTTTGTCTTCTTATTGGACCCTGAGGTTTGTTTTGCTCTTTTCTGCTCTAATTTGTCTTTCTGTTAGTTTTCCTCTTATTGTTTTCCGTCTCCGTCCGGTTGTTTGTTCTCATAAACACCTCGGAGGGCTTCAGCGTCTCAGCTGCACGTTTTTATTGGTTTTATCATCTTCTGCTTTCCTTCTCTTCCTCGTCACATTGCTACAGTTTTATAAAAGTCATCTGAGCGGGAGTGAAATGTGTGTATTTGTGTGTCGCAGGACGTACGCACTTCGGCGTGTGCGTGATGCCTTCAGGGCCAACAGGACAGTGGAGGATTCAGCAGAGGTGGAGCGGCTGATGGAGGAGGGGCGGCAGATGTTGGCGTTGATACAGAGACAGGTGTGACCTTCACACGTTGACACACACTCAGGTGGTTTTAATCCTGTTACACTTGAACACATCAGAACTTAACGATGTCGCTGTTGGGTCAATTTAAAGACAAAGGAAGTCCAAATGTCCTCGCAGAGACACAACCCCCCCCCCCCCCCCCCTCATGTAACCAGGTTGACTGTAATGTAGATGAACACCTGTGGGCTGACCTGTCCTGCACACACAACCCCTCATTACCACGGCAACTGCTGCCTAATCACCCCACTGCTGGTCACTTTGTTCCCATAATGCACCAGCAGCCCGTCAGCCAGTCCCAGCGGAGGACTGTCCGTCTGTCTCTCGTCTCCCCAGGTGTAGGATGATGACCTTGAGCCACAGATATTTCTGTTCAGTCTCACCAGTCGCAGGTGGTAAACCCATGAAATCCTCCTGCAGTTGTTTTTCCTTCTTTTGACGAGTGGATTCAGAAACTGCGAGGACGGAGGAACAGGTCGGCTCTAAATCTTCTGACATTTCACTTAAATTCTGCGTCCTGTCGGCCGTCTCCTCAGAGATCTGGAGTCCACTTTAACGATCACATTTACATGCTGACATTTCAGAGCAGAGACAAGTCGTTAATGGTAACGCCGTTAAAACGGGAAGAACGGCAGAAACAAACACAGTGAACACCTCCCACCTTTTATTAATTAGTCTGTAATACAAATACACTAATGAAGCTAATTTAATTAGATGTTTTGCTCATTTCTGTTTGGGTAAGCAAAGTGAAGACATCTTAATTGTGTTATAAATAAAGAAACACTGGTTGGCTGTGATTTAATTCACTTTATATTTAAAAAGAGAACTTTGGAGAAATAAAGCCAAACCTGCGTCGTTTGACTTTGAGTCTTTGAGTCACAGAACATGGTACAATGTGAGATGGAGATTTGACCAATGGTCAACTTTGAACAGTCTAGTCCAGGGATCTGCAATCTGCGGTTCTGGAGCCACACGTGGCTCTCTGGTCCCTCTGCAGCGGCTCTCTGGTCCCTCTGCAGCGGCTCTCTGGTCCCTCTGCAGCGGCTCTCTGGTCCCTCTGCAGCGGCTCTCTGGTCCCTCTGCAGCGGCTCTCTGGTCCCTCTGCAGCAGCTCTCTGGTCCGTAACCCTGAAAAACTGACATCAAATTGAATTTTATTGGTTGTTATAAGAACTAAAAGGGCTAGTTTTAGCAGTTTTCCAGTAATTTATTTAGCAAATATATGAATACTAGAAACATTACAAGGAGTCAAACATACTCACTTTCACTTTATTTCTTCAAAATAAGATACGTAATTGTTCTAGAGTAAAAATAACCACATAAGAATGCATAGTTTATTGTTTTAGTTTTCAGAAACTGGACAAAAACTATATATTTTTTTTGCTTCTTTACAAGAATCTTGTGTTTTATTTTGTCTTAATCAATAAATGTTAAAAATCATTAGATATTTTTAGTTTTATAAAACCACCCCTACTCTAGAAAAGCGCCCTCCAACAAACTTGAAGTGGTCCGTGGGCCACCAGTTGAGAATCCCAGTTGTAGCAGGTGTTGTTGCTCCGGACACGTTTAATTTAGTGAACAAAGGGGCTGAAATGGCTTTTTTAATTTATTTTTTTCATTCATTCAACCTTTATTTTGACAGGTCAATCCCATCTTTTGATGGTAAAGGTTGCAGACCCCTGGTCTAGTCTTTCCAGTCTAGTTTTTTTGAAAACAAACTCTTCCTACTCTTACAGACTTTGTACCTCTTATTCAGTTTAGACATGAAGCTATGAAGTTTTTATCGCTTCTTCCAGCCCTTGTCTTTCACTGCAGCAGGACTGATGGTTTTCTTTCAAATCCCACCCCAGTATGCACACACCCACACTCTCATGGACTTTCACTGCACCAAAATTTTCTTTTTAAAACCAAAAGTTTCTGCCGCTCACTGCTCATAACTTTTTTGTTTTGTAAGACCTAGTTTTCACACAGCAACTGTTTTTCTGAGGCTTACTTTTTAGTCTGTGATTAAACCTTTAAGTGCTACAGCTCTTAGTCCCTCCCCCAAAAGAAAAAAAAAAGGCAGGAGTCACCATGGCAACCACTGACCATGGATTCTGGGTTTCTTGGCTACTCTTATGCTGAGTGAATTTCTTTCTTGTATTTTCTTTTTTTAAATGTGTGTTTCTGTCTCATAGAGTAGTTCTGTGTGCTGTCTCTCTCTGGTTTGTCCAGAAAAGGCGGGAATCACCATGACAACCAGTGACTCAGCAGGTTCTGGGTCACTGACAGATTTATATATATTTGTTTTGTTTTTCCTTTTACCCAGAAAGCTTTTCTTTCTTTGTATTTTCTTTTTGTTTTGTCTGATAAAAAGTGTTGCTGTGTGTTGCCCCTCATCCCATTCTGCTCCACAAAAAAGCGGGAATCACCATGGCAACCAGTGATTCAGGACATTCTGGGTCACTAACTATTTTTTCTTTTTCCTTTTTAATGTGTTTTCGGTTTGATTAAGAGTATTTCTCTGTGCTGCTTCTCTTCATTTTGACCAGAAAAGACGGGAATCGCCATGACAACCAGTCCCTCAGCAGGTTCTGGGTCACTGTTTTATTTTTTTAACCATTAAGTTTTTGTTTCTTTTATTTTTTAATTTTTACTCTGTTTAATAACAGGTGCTGCTGAGTGTTGCCCCCCACTCCTTGTCTGCTCTCCAGAAAAGGAGGGAATCACCATAGAAACCCATTTTCAAATATATTTGTTTTAGGTGCATGTGCATTTTTAATAATATAAATTTTGTAAACAAGTTTCAGTTTTAGAGAATCTTCTGCAGGTTCATGTTTTTTATATTTTTCCATCATGGCCACTCCCATAAATCCTTCTGACTTTAAACAATCAGTCCTGGTTAGAAGGTTATGGCTCAAGAGAGTTTAGCAAAAGTCTCTGCAGACTTTAGAATTTCAAATCACAAAATTCCTAATGGACACGAAATAGGTTTTAATCTAGAACTACAAAATAAAGCTCATATCCATTTTTCAAAATAAGAGCCTGTCTAATTCCTAGCATAGATTATTACAAAATAAAATCCCAAATTTCTGTTGATTTAAATATAAAATAAAGATAATGCATTTGTTTATAGTTCTTTGCGTTTTAAATAAAGTTCACCCATGTGAACTCTGTTTTCACAGAGAAACCTTTGGTCTTCCTTGACTTTCATCTCGTGAGAACCTGCAGCTCTGAGTGTTTTTTGTTCTCACGTGGGCATCTGTTTGCCTCTCTGCTTCCCGCCCACACTAATTCATACGATAAATGCACCACAGGAGGAATATGCTCCTCGTTGCAACCTGGCTGGATACTACAGGCCTCTGGAAAAATCCATACGCTCTTCTGCTGCTGGGGTTTCAGGTGGCTTCTGGTTCAGTCCCCAGCGAGCTCAGATCCATACAGCGTGTTATGTAAGAGGCTGAACTGGACAGGAGTAGATGCAGGCCCAATAAAACACGACGCCGCAGATGAACCAGATCTGCTCTTTAAAACATGTACACAGAAAGTTTGCATCATCATCAGTCGTGCTTGGTTCCTGGTCTGGGTGTTTGTGATGATCTTCAGACGTCAGAGCCTTTTTCCTGGTTTGCAGCGCCTCTTTTCAAGGTCTCCCTCTCTGAAGCTCTTCCTGAGAGATTCAGAGGTGTTCCCAGACCAGAGTTCTGGGTCTGTCCAGGGGTCCCTTCCCAGAGTTAGGGTAGCAGTGTAGAGGAACCAGTAAATCTAGATCTTTTCACTTCAGCTCCTTTCTCACAACAGACTGGGAGAACAAACTCATTACCTCAGACGAGGCACGATCCATCAGTCCATGTCCTGATCCAACCTACCTTCATCCAAATACACAAACCCCTTCAGGTGAAATGGACCCTGATCCAGAAGGAACATTCCATCTTTTTCCAGTTGAGAACCGTGGGCTCAGACTCGGAGGAGCTGACTGTCATCTGAAGACTCCAACAGAACCATGTCATCTGCAAAGAACTGATGAGACCCCCTTTTCTTCTGCTACAGAGATTGCTGCCAAGCATTGCTTATTTGTACCTTCTGTACAATGACAATAAAGCTTCTTCTTTAAAACCCTGTCCATGAACATCACAAACTGCTTCAGAGACTAGAGACAGCCCTGGCAGAGTCCAACTCACACCAGTATTGGGGTCTTCTTTGTGCCAAGGACACAGCTCTTGTATTGGTTCTTCAGGGACCAGAACTATCTTAAAATTAATCCCAACATCCTCCACATAATGTCTCAGGGAAGGCAGTCGTAAGCCTTCTCTAGATCCAAAAACACATGTAGACTGGTGATTCAAACTCCCATGACCCCTTTAGCAAGTCTTCAATGATCTGGTCCACAGTTCCACGTCTGGCACCGAATCCACAGTGCACCACTTGAATCAAAGTCCAACGGTTGATTGGAGACTCCCTTCCACCACCCTGAGAGGCTGAGAAGTGTGATCCCTGGATAGGTGGAACGAACACGACCTGAATCCCAATGAATGTTGGTCAGAGGTCCCACCTTTAAACCAGGAACCTTGGGTATGGGTCAGAGGAACCAGATGGTAGGGAGGAGGAGTCAGGAGCAGATGGACAACTGAACTGCTCAATGGTCCACTCTGTAAGCAGCGCCAACCCTTCCACACCGAACGAGGCTGATGACCTCCCATGTCTTCCCTCATGATGTTTGAGTTTGTTTCTGTGGTTCTGAAACTCTCCGGGGGAACCGGTGGCTCCAGCAGACATCTTTAAAATGTTGTGCTCAGGGTCAACGAGAACCCTCGCTCCTCACACAGGACGAGTGTGCAGCTAAATGTGGCTTCAGAGTCCAGATCTTTGTTGTGGCTGGGAGCTGCTGCTTGTTGTGTAAATCTGTGTGTTCGTATTCATGCGTGGGTGTGCGGTGTGAAATAATCTGCCGCATGTGGGTGTGCTTGAGCTCCTCTGCAGCAACCGGCCGCTCGGCTCCAAAAGTTGAGCTCGTTCCTAATT